GAAAAAATCAGAACGACATCGATTCTAATTGTGCCTTTCGCTCTTCCTGTGAGTTTTTGTGCTCTGATGCTGGACAATAGTAAATCGTGTTGTTCGGCCGCCAGTCGCTTCACTGCTAATTGAATGTGATCAATAAAGGACGTTAAGTCCGTCAAACTCCGGGATTTAAATGCAGTGCTTTTTCGTACGATTTAATAAGTATTTTATTTTTTGGTGCAAAAGTTTCTGACGTTGTTGTTTCTTGGTATTGTTCTCTTGGTAATTGGTCTACACGTAAGCTTTCCATTTAGTTTTTTATATCTTGTATCACGTCTGTTATTGAGAGTACTTTTTCTGCTAGTACGCTCAAAGTGAGCGTTTGATGGCGAGAATGTTTCTGTGCGCGCGCGTTGGAGCGGTTATGAAGATTCCTGATTCTAAAATATGTTCGAATCCATACTCGATTCTGTTGATGTATCGAAATTAAGTAATGATTTTCTGTACCGTTTTGTAATTTGTCCACGCCAATATGATTCAGTTGGGTTCGGGAGGTAAAACGGGATAATCTCCGGGTCTACACCACCTCAGAAGTAACTAGCACGATTAGTATATTATCCCCGAAATAAAAGTGCTCGGATTTTATTTGCCCTAATTATTCCGCACAGCTGCCACCAATTGTAAGATTAATCGTGAAATTACTTACAATAAAAGAATAATTTATTCAGTCAACTATACATCACACAAAATACTTAATTTTACTCTACGCTTTAAAGATACAGTATGACGAGGTTTTGATCGTGTCGAAGAACTGCAAAGATCTGAGCTTGCAATCCGAAGCTTTCATTTTTACAGGGCCCAAAAAGGGTCGTATACGTTTTCCGAAAGTTTTCCAGAATAAGTCATTGCGTCCTCGGAATGATTAATCGCTGATTACGACATCGTGACATTGAGAAAATAATTTTTCAAAAGTTATCATATTTTCTTAAGATAGGATAGTTATAAAAGTTTATATCTAGAATTTCTTATCGTTATCGCATTCTTAAAGATAGATATACGTGGACAATGATCGCAACTGCTACAACGTCGGACGAGTCATGAGAGATGTGTTCGTATAAAACTATTCTAGCACTTTACCAGCAACCATGCACGCATATTACGTATGTGAATTCGTAAGGTATAAAAGTAATTATGAATAAGCAATTAAATAATAAAAGTTGTTTGTCCGGCGGGAACAGTCACAGCAAGCGGACGTAAGTCTTATCGATAGAGGCAGTGTCTTGCGACAGCGCGTAACACTGAAACAACCCCGAGTGACGCTATTACGTCTTAATACGTTAATCCGTAGGCGCGTGACACATACACGGAAAAAAAAAAGAAGTTGTTTCAATTAAACGTCAACGTCACGAGCTGCCACAAGCATAAATAGTTAATTCAATTGGATATTATTGGACCAAATATTTAAATTATTAAAACAATTATCTGATGTTTTTTATTCATTAATATCAATGTTGCATCAATAAATTTTATCTCGATAACACTGATGCTGTTGATACAAAAAATGATGCTGTTGATACAAAATCATTTTTCTTCCGCGTGTATGAGTTACTATATGTATATATGAACACGAAGTAGAGATTGTGATTAAGAACAAATAAAGCTCACTTACCGGGAAAAAACAATTAGTACCGAGTTGCGAGATTTTTTATACAATATGTGTAATCATCATTATACTGACTTATATCGAATTAATTACGGGAGGGGGGGGGGAAAGGTTCGTAACAATATTGCGCTGATACGCGATATTGTGAAATACTTCCGATTAGTATTACGCGAATCATACAAAGGTTGAGTGTGCGCGCGTACGAGTGTCGTGACTATACGAGCGAAAGAGAGATAATTCATAATACTTTTTTGAGTAAATACGGTGTATAAGAGTAGAAGTCGTTCGAACCTCTCCTCCTTTCGTAACGCACTGCTATTGCGGGTGTCTTTGATATATCTGAAAGTGAATTAATAACAGTTCTCTATTGTAAGGAATAACTACTTACTGTGGAAAATACTTACCTATTACTGAGAACAATCGATACTCATTCCGGATTAGATCCTGGTGGAGCGAGTAGCCGAGGCCGAGACGTCGGTACCTGTAACAAAGGAAGGAAAGATTATCAATCAGAGGAATTCTTCTTGGCGGTGAAATCAAGTGACAATCATAACGAGTGTTTAATTTATAATTAATGATTATTATTTATGATTATAAGTATTATAACATCCGTTCGGTCACAACTTTAGCTTAAGAAAACACGAACTTAAATAATTCAACTGAAATTTGCATTCCAAAAAATAAAACAAATTTACATCTCTCAGTATATTGCAAGTCAATAGAACATTACTGGCATATTCTTGTGCCTATAGTTGACTCTTCTCTATATCACTTCCAGTATTATCTAAAAACCTGTTAGCACGTTTTTAGCTTATTTAGACATTTTGTAATCCTACTGCTGGAATAACTGCATCTTATTGTTAGAGAAGTTCACATAGAGAAGGAGACGCACACAAAAAACAAACTGATTTTTACCAGCCAAAACTCTTACCACCTGCTTCTTGATTTAAACAGGAATTTATAACAGAATACAAAAACCATGAAGAAACGAGCAAGAAAATTTTGTCTACAAGTTCTAACTGGACTCGAAAAGGTGGTATCAGAGAATAATATTGATAGCTTAAAAAAACTAAGCAATTTAATTGACAATATAAGTAATGTAGAAGATCAAATAACTTTGAGAAATTATTATGATAATGCCAGCAACCCTGTTAGAAGCACTAATTTAGTTATCTTAGCTTGTAAACATAATAAAGTAAAAATTTTAGAGTATCTATTTGATAGTGATAGTAGAATTCTAAATAATCTGTCTGTTGTTATTGGAAGAAACACTATATTACCATATGATGAAGATGAAACACGTCATAATGCGTTTTATTATGCTATACGTTCATGTGATGTCGAGCTTCTTGATACACTCATTAGTAAATGGCCAGTTAATTATTTTGCTGTTAATTTAGGAGAATTGGATGAAATCCTTTCAAGAACTTATGAAGAATTAAAGTTAAAAGATGTACCATTGTCAGACGAAATGGAAATTTTTGTTCATAATAAGTTAGTAAACCTCCGTTTCTTCCCTAATACTTTTCGACAAGATCAGAAAGTGAAGAATTGTCTTACTAATATCAGAGAACGGATTGAATTAACACTTCAAAACATTAATATGCTAAAGACAGATTACTCAAACACAAAAAAAATAGATAAGAGGTTTTTATTTGTAGCAAAATTTATCGCAATAAATATTCATATATTAAAGCGGCAGTTGAAATCAACCTATGATAGATTACCTTGGGAAGAAATGGAGTTTTGTTTAGTCAGTTTTGTTTCTTCTCACACAAAACGAGAAGAAATTAATCTATTTTATAACGCTACATTGAATAAAAACAAAATATTAAATCACTTAGAAAACTTTGCAGAAAAACTTAAAAATGAAAAAGAAAGTGTGAACATTAATAAACTACCAAATTTAAAACGCGAGAAAGTTGTTGCAAAGATTATTAACAGTTGTTTTCAATTTAAAGAATTGTATAACGATTATCAACAAATTAGAGATATCCATTCTTTAATGAAAATAAGTGATTGTATAAAGTTGGCGTTATCAGCTGATCCTAAAGAAAAGGAAGAACAGTTAATTATTATAAGGGTTTTACAGGTTATCGGCGAGCATTTGAAAAACACTTTAGAATCCCCCAAGTTATCTAATACTACAAGTGAGTTTCTGCTATTATCATTACCGAAAAATACAAGAAAAATAATTATAGATTTACGTAATTCACTATCGCATGCTCATTCACTCTCCAAGAGAACAGAAATTGAGGAAAATACAGATGTTGGTTTTTTTGCTGGTCTTCTAAATGATATTAAAAAAATCGATATTGTAATTACTGATATTCTTTATAGTAAAAAAATTCAAACGGTTAGAATGCTTCTAAAAAGAATTGCTGATAGTGAAAACTTAAGTGATATAAAAGAAACTGATAAAATATTAAGTAATGTTAAATTGGATGAAATAATATCGGCAGATTTAAAAATGATGGAATACAAGAAACTTGAAAAACTCATTAAAGAATTAAGCGATAACATAACTGACAAGACGGATCATGAAAAGAAATTATTTAATGAAATTAATAAAATAATCAATTGTGGAACTCAATTAGAGAATATTAAAACTGATTATATTAGAGGATTTAGATTATTAGGCGCAATTAGCTTCTGCCATGACATTAGAGGAATAAAATGTTTTGCTAATACAACATTAAAGAATATGACTCTAAAAATAAAGCCTAATAGCTTTAAAGAAATTGCTAAGTTGTTCACAGAAATTTATCGTAGTATTGAGCCAAGAATTCGATATGACAATCTGGATAAATTAATTTACGAAATTTTTTTTTATATTTCTGAATTTGGAACAATTGACATCAAATGGATTGAGAAATTAAGAGAAATGTTGAATGAAAAAGGTTCGTGTATTCCTACACATAAACAATGGAATACTTACAATGTAACGGAAGAAACATATAACAATAACCTGCTTGCATCAAAGATATCTGAACTGAAAAATATTTTAGGCAAAAACGCATTAAGTGGTCAAGTTATTGAAAAATTACTTTTCTATAAAAAGGATAAAAAATTGCAAACAATAGTAGAAATGCTTGTTCTGGATATAATGTCAATTTTAGGTAGCTTTAAACATTACTTGGAAAATAATCTATTTTTTTTAGATGATAACACTCCTATATTAATTGGAAAATGTTTACGTAATCATTTAGCACATGATAATGCTCTAGTTAACGTACTGTTATTTGATCCTTCAATAGAAGTTGTTTTGAACGCTAAAAAACTTACTGAAAAAAATATAATAAGAAACAAGAAAAAAATTGGCAAGTTAGTAAGCGATGATTTTTGCAGGTTGAGAAAGAAGTACAATCAAGACCTAGATACCATTAGTAATCAGGAAAAAATGATTGCTGCTTTGGAAGAAGGAAATTTAGAAAACTTAAAGAATTGTCTAAAAAATGGTGCAGATATTAATGCTAGAAGTATTAATTCATGGGCCACGTTACATTTTGCTGCTAAAGGATCCAGTCCTGAAGTTATAAAATTTATTCTTGATCAAAATTTAAGCGTTGATGTGAAAGATATTAATGGTCAAAGCCCATTGCATATTGCTGCTGCGCACGGAAGAAAAAATATTGTAGAATTTTTTATAAAAGCAGGTTTACATGTTGATGATTTAGATAATAGTCTCAAAACGCCACTACATGTCGCTGCTCAAAATGGTCACAAGGATACTGTTGTAGTTTTATTAAAAAATAAAGCTAATACTATTGCCAAAGATGAAACTGGTCTTTCACCTTTATACCATGCAATAATGAATAATCATATCGCTGTAGCTAAGATTTTATTTAAAAAATATGTAAACGTTGATATTAATGAAAATATAGATGGCTTTACTCCGTTGCACGTAGCTGCAAAGGGAGGTCATTTAGAGTTAGTTAATTTCTTGCTTCAAAATAAGGCAGATGTAAACGCTAGAAATGATATGTATTCTACACCGTTACATGGAGCAGCAAGCAACTGTTTGGAAGTAGTAAGTGCCTTAATCCTAAACGGAGCTAATGTTAACGCTAGAAGCATAAGTGGTATTACACCATTACACTGTGCAGTAGATTACGGTCATGAGAAGATAGTTAATATTCTATTGGAGCATGGAGCTAATGTTAATGCTGTTGACATCGATAATGAGACACCTTTGATCTTGGCAGCAATATATGGACACGAGGAAATAGTTAAAACTCTACTGAAAAGTAAAGCCAACGCTAATATTGCCAATGTTGCAAGTATGACTCCATTGCATTTTGCTGCCCAGAATGGTCATCTAGGAATAGTTGTTGCTCTACTTAAACATATTTTTGATATTTGTGCTAAAGATCGAAATAACATTACACCATTATATTGTACAGCAAAAAGTAGTCATAAGGAAATTTCTGAACTTTTAATAGAAAAAGAAGCAAAAATTAATGCCAAAACTAATAATAATGTAACACCACTATGTACAGCTGCTCTGAAAGGCCACAAAAACGTTATTCATCTTCTAATAGACAAAGAAACTGAGGTTAATGTAAAAAATAATGACGGTTGTACACCGTTGCATCTAGCTGCTCTGAACGACCACAAAGACATTGTTAAGCTTCTAATAGAAAGTAAAAAAACTGAGGTTGATGCAATAACTGATGACGGTATTACACCATTGCATATGGCTGTTGTAAAAGGCCACAAAGACATTGTTGATCTTCTAATAAAAAGTAAAAAAGCTGAGGTTGATGCAAAAACTTATAACGGTAATACACTGTTACATCTAGCTGCTACGAAAGGTCACAAAGACATTGTTGATCTTCTAATAGAAAATCAAGCTAAGGTTAATGCAACAGCTAAAGACGATAGTACACCGTTGCATCTAGCTGCTCTAGAAGGTCACAAAGGCATTGTTGATCTTCTAATAAAAAATAAAGCTAAGGTTGATGCAAAAACTAATAACGGTAATACACCGTTGCATCTAGCTGCTTTTAACGGCCACAAAGATATTGTTGATCTTCTAATAAAAAATCAAGCAAAGGTTAATACAACAGCTAAAGACAATTTTACACCGTTACATACAGCCGTGACAGCAGGTCATAAAGAAATCGTTGAGATTCTGGCAGCAAATGGAGCCAATGTTAATATCAGAACTAATAACAACATGACACCATTGCTTTCTGCTATAAAATATAATCACAAAGAAATCGTTAAAGTTCTTATATCAAATGGAGTTAAAGTTAATGAAGAAGGCATTAAACTTTTGTCATCAGCAGTTCTTGCTGCAAACACAGATATTATAGAAATTTTACTAGACAAAGTCGATGTTGATGTAAAAGATTCTAAAAATGTTGCACCATTACACTTGGCTGCTATTAAAGGTCATAAGAATGTAGTAAAAGTTCTGTTAAAAAAAGGAGCTACACTTGATGCTATAACTGTTGATAATCTAACACCATTATGTTTTGCAGCACAGGAGGGGTATGAAGAAATTGTTGAGATTTTAATAGCACATGGAGCTAACTTTAATTTTAAATCTTACAAAAATCTTACACCATTACATATAGCTGCAACCCATGGTCATGGTAATGTTGTAAAAGTTTTACTTGATAATAAAGCAAATATTAATGTTAAGGATAATAAGAATAGAACTCCTCTAGAATTAGCAGTGGCACATGGTCATTTAGAAGTGGTTAAAATGTTACTACTGCAGGACTACGAAAAAATAGATATAAATGCTAAAAGTAACGATGATTGGACGATATTGCATATTGCTTCACAAAGAAATAACTTAGAGATGGTAAAATATCTAGTAGATGATATAGGATTTAATGTTAATGCTATAAATGCCTTTGGTTCAAAACCTATACACATTGCAGCGAGAGAAGGTTGTAAAGATACTGTAGAGTTTTTCCTTAGTAAGGGATTAAGTATTAATGAACTTGATGCAGCTAATAAGACATTACTACACTATGCTGTAGAAAATGGTCAATTAAAAGTTGCAAAGTATTTGATAACACAAGGCGCTGACGTTAATGCTAAAGATCATAATGGCTTAACTCCTATGCATATTGCTGCTAATTTTAGTTATAAAGACGTTATTGAAGTTTTATTAAAAAATGGAGCAGTTTATAACGCTGTTGACCATACTTGTAAAAAACCACTAAAAATGTCTAATGACGAAAACGTTATCAATTTATTAGAATCAACTGAGAAATTGTTCGAGGCTGTAAAACGTAATGGCTCTTCAGATGTTGAGAATTACATTAAAGCAGGGGCGGTCGTTAACGCCAAAAATGTTAATGGAACATCATTACATTATGTTGCGTGGAAAGGCTATGACAGTATTGTCAATACTCTATTACAAAATAAAGCTGATCCTAATGCAGTTGGTAAGAAGGGATATACTCCTCTACATTATGCTGCTAAGTTCTCTCACTTGAAAATTGTGAAGCTCCTATTATCTAATGGTGCAGTATATAATGCAGTTTCTGATGATGGTAAAACACCATCAGATTTTACTGTAGATAAAAGTATTACTAGCTTATTTATACTACTGAGTGACTTATTTGAAAATATTAAAAATGATAATTCTCAAGTTATTAATGATCTTAACAAGATAAAGAAAATTAATACAGTAAAAGCAATAATGAATGCTTGTGATAGAGAAAACAAAACGCTAATAGTTGCTGCAGTGCATAATAACTTTTCAGAAGTCGAACAGTTGAAAGAGGTATCACAAGATGGTGTGTCCGCTCAGATTAATGTAGGTTTAATGTTTTATAATCGAGGCGATTATTGTAGGGCTTTATGTATTTTCGAAAGCGTATTTGAAAAAAGAAAAGAAATTCTAGGATCAGATAATCCTGGCACTTTAGATATTCAGACATACATAGGTAATGTATTATACGCACAAGGGGCTTACCAAGAAGCTTTAAATACATTTGAAGAAATTTTCCAGAAACAGAAAGAAATACTGGGTTTAAATAACAAGAATACTTTAAGTACAAGAAGTACAATTGCTTTAGTGCTGTATGAGCTGGGAAGGAATAAAGAAGCTTTTAATATTTGTCAAGAAATTTGTCCAAAGCAAGAAGAAATATTAGGTCCAAATCATTTAGATACTTTAGATAGTCAATTTCGCATGGCATTAGTATTAGATGCACAAAAAAAATACGAAGAAGCGTTAAATATCTATAGAACAGTTTTTGAAAAAAGTAAAACAATATTAAGTGCAGATGACCCAACAGTTTTGTGTATTCAAGAAAATATGGCGGTGGTACTGGCTAACCAGGGTGAACTTGAAAAGGCATTGACAATTTATAAAGATGTTTACGAGAGGAAGAAAGCAGTTTTAGGTATTAATCACTGTAGAACTTTGACAACGTTACATGACATTGGTCTAATATTCGACAAGCAAAAAGATTATTATAAAGCCCTGACGACTTTTCAAAAGGTTTTAGATGATAGAAAAAAAGTTTTGGGAAAAAATCACCGTGAAACCTTGAATACTCAATACTGTATTGCAAATGTACTTCTTGCTAAATTTAAATTATTTGATGCACTTAGAGCCTATACAGAATGTTTGGATCAAATGAAAGATATTTTTGGACCAAGTCATCCCACTGTTTTGGATATTTTGAACAAGATAGAATATATTAATTATATATTTAAGTTTACAGGCTACGAACGGCGAGATATTCTACTGTATCTGCAGAAAGACATTTACATTGCTGCTAGTAATGGTGATATACAAACTGTTCAGCGCCTATTAAAAGATGGAGCTGATGCCAATGATAAAGACATTGATGGAAGAACACCGTTACACTACGCTGTTAGCAATGAACAGGCAAGTGTTGTGAACATCTTACTAAAAAACAGAGCTGATGTTACTCAAGTTACTAATAAAGGTAATACACCATTACACACTGCGACTTCTAAAGGTTACAAAGAAATTGTTGAAGTTTTATTAAAACATGTAAGTCATGATAAATTAAACAATTTCATCAATGCTAAAACCGCTGCTAGTGGTGCTACATCGCTCCATGTTGCAGCCAAGAATGGTTTTTTGGATGTCACCAAGTCTTTATTGAAGCGAGGTGCAATTTATAATATTAAAAATAATGAAGGTAAAACACCTCTTGATCTTTCTAAAGACCAAAATGTTAATGACTTACTGAAACTAGTTGAAGAATTGTTTAAAGATGCAAAAAATGGTAATCTTGAAATAATCAGCAAATTAAAAGCGATAAAATCTGATGACTATGTAGTTGCAACAAATGTTCGTAATAATCAAGGATATACGTTATTGCAAGTTGCTATAGCTAATAGACACAAAAATGTTGCAAATAAATTATTAAAAATGCTAAAAAAGTTAAATAAATATTAATAATTTGTCGATGATAGAGAGAGGAATTAAAAGCTTAGAACTTTAATTAATGCTGTTAAATTATTTATATGTAACTTAAGTTAATTATTTTAATGAAATTGAGCATCGGTGGTTTGTTATCAAAAATAGAGTTAGATGAAATATCTCTGTCTTATCGTCATGCAGTTGATTCTGTTTTCCTTTAATTGTTTTGACTATCATGAGAAATACTATACTCATCACTGCAGTTTATACTTTAGTTGCATTAAGCCCTAAGTTATGTAAAAATTCTATTATATAAGAACTAGTGAAGGTTGAAATACGTTTAAGAAACTAAAAATTTTTATGGTAATATTTTTCCTATTAATACTTATAAAACCTATTAATTCTTTATTTGCTATTAGATTAAATTCTGTTTAGTACAACCACTTTTTTACTTGTTATTTATAATTAAAAAAAAATACAAGTATTAAATATCTTTTGTGGCGTTCTGCTTTTCTCTCTTTGAAAGTATTGGTCTTTTTCTTACCATATTTAGTTTCCAGTCCACTTGATCGTTTAATGGTTTTTTAAAATTGCATTTTGTTGCATTTTTTAAATTGAGCATTATAATCAAAAATTTGCTTTCCGTTTTGTTTAAAAATGCAAGCAGTTTTTTATTATTTTAAGATGTAACAAAAGATAATGCATATCTTTCAGCTCCAATGTGTGCAGTCTTGCCTATGTGATAGTCAACTTGCAATTGTGGTGCGTCATAATTGATAACATGTAGAACGTAGGAAATATCAAAACCACGAGTTGCAACATCTGTTGCAACCATGATTTAATTGCGGCTACGATGAAAAGAATTGATGATTCTTTATTCTTTCGCGTTTGTGCAGTCTTAAAAATCATTATATGTTGTTGAAACGTCATAGAGGAAGTGCAAGTATTGTGGGATACTCAATTTAAGCATTTTTTAAGATAATTTGACTATTAAAAATGAATTATTAAAGATAATTAAAGTCAATTTTTACTGAGGAGACTTACGGAAGTGTAACTTATCGACTTTAATGAAACTAACTTTAATGAAGTAATTGGCATACTTGTAGAACAGCGAAAAATAATCGACACAAATTTTTTTATTTCGGCAATGGTGCGAGTTTAAGGATAGTTACAAAATTTAAAATGGCGAATCCAATATGGCGATTAAAATTATAAAAATTCTTCTAGTTTGAAATGCTCTGCAGTTAGCCAATAAAAATTATAGTTTTCAGGGTTTACTGCGAGAAGGTTGCAGACCGATTTTAAACCCCTTTCTGTACTTATTTTAACGGGATGCTTGATTTATAGTGAGTAAAAAGTGTGTGATGCATAAAAATTTTTTACACCACGCACACCTTATTTGGAAGAAAAACCACCTGAGTTTGAAAATCCCGTAAAATTTTGTTTCCAAGATTGTGCAGCATTTTGCGATTTGTGCACAGTTATTGCCGTAATACTTAAGGTTCTGCTTTCCTTCAATTGATTTGACTATTATGAGAAAGGCTATAAAGCACCACTGTTTATTTCGTAATAATATAGTTGCATTAAGCCCTAAGTTCTAAGTTACGCAAGAATTTTTTTATACAAAAACTATTGGAGGTGCTAAGATATACGTCCAAGAAACAAAAATGTTTAGGTATGATAATATTTTTCCTATTAATTAACTTATAAAACCTATTGATTCTTCATGTGCTATTATATTAAAATGTGTCTAGTACATCCACTTTTTTACACGTTATTTAGAATTTTTTTAAGTAAAAGTGTTAAATATCTTTTGTTAGCATTCTGCTTTTCTCTCTTTG